AAGGCAGTTACTGCCATTTGCTGAGATATTGCCACCTACATCATGCAGTTTCTTAGAAGTGTGGGTCTGGGATTTTGTCATACATCCACACAACCAGTATCTTGTTTTAACTGTAGACTTTGAAAGTCCAGAATTACAGCTGGACCTCTCAGAGGCCTCCGGGTCACACTCTTCAACAGCGGATGATGGGTATGAAAGGATTGTATCACTTGGTGAAGTCTGAAAAGGGCCACTTGTCAGTCAAGAGAGCCGAGACAATTGTATTTGCATGCCTAACAATGAAACTGTGAGTGAAAGACTGAATAAAACTGTCAGCTTTAAAAAAAAATCACTGTTAACATCAGGTTGAAGTGCTGGTTAAGGAGTCCTCCAGCAGGCATGGCGGCACTGGCGTGGGGAGGACTCCGTGCCCTGGCTATGACAACCAGCCGCAGAAATCAAAGTAATGAAATAGGAAAGCTGAACTTTTCCAGTCTTTGGGAAGTCGAAGCAGAACAGAAATCCACCATTGTTCAAAAAAATCATGCTTGCCAATAACCATCCTGTAACAGTGGTTGGGCAGCATGTTTGGAGTCCGACTGTAATTTCTGCATTATATTAGACTTCAAACAGGACGACAGCTGAATTCTGGAGAGGAGGAACTCTGCTCTCCTTTGGGGATGAACAGCACCTATAGCACTTAACAGTCCCAGTCTTTAGGTGTCAGGCAAGCAAAACTTGCAGATGGTAAATACAATAAATAATTTAAAAAACACTAGAGTAGCTCAGAAATAACATATAAGGGCGAAAGGGCATTTCCGGTGAGATCTAACATACCATTTTTATGGAGCTCTATTTTGTTGCTGCAATAACATCGAAGAAAAAGCCTCAAGCTGCTCTTCACTTCTCCCCCCTCTTTTTTTTTTAAATCATTTGCTAATGAAGACAGGAAAATCCAATAAAATTACTTTGCCTCTCATGTTCTAATACAAACCACTTTAATATAAAAAAATACTATAATCAGTGACCAACTTCATTCCCATATAGAGAAAATAATACCAGTCAGTAACAGCCTACATCTGTAGCATTCACTGTTACAACCTCTGCATTAAAGAGAGGAGTATGTCAGGAAAAGTAAAAATCATGAGTTTTCCACAAAAACCATTAGGCAGCTTTGTCAGATGTATTGGCATTTATACCATGTGGTTTCTTATTCCACATGCTTCCTTGATTTTTTTTCTTTAGAGAAAAACATACTGGCTTTTTTTGTTTAAGAGACATTACGTGCTGGATATAGTAGTTGGTACAAAGCTCTACCGAATATTCTAAAGACAATCTGGTTCTTCAGTTAGTGTTGGTTTTACCCTTTCAGGTAAGCCAAGATTTTTCGTGCTGTACAGATGTCTTCCTGCTTTGATAACATCTAAATTTAGAAGGTGCAGATAAGTACTGTTAGCAATAATAAGCAGTGACGACAAGGGGCGAGAAGCACACCTTTACTCTTCAACAGGAACATATAAACTATGGATACTGATGCTGTAAATAAAATTGATGGCCCCACTTCATCTCTGAATGAACCTCCAGAACAGGAGATGCTAGACAGATCATAGCCTGATCTCAAATAATTATTTTGTTAATGATCCTAGGTGAAAAATGCTTTTTTTGCTGATAACTTGCACATTAGCATAGGAAAGGCTCAAAGCTTCCTTGGAAGCATACTATTTCTGGCTTATTGAAACAAGCACTTTTTATTTTTAACTAAGCATTGAAAATATTTCAAAAAGAATTGCCAAGCGAGCCTGGAACACCTGGACCAGATACCTGCTTTGCTGTAATACAGTCTATTTAGGGCTGCCTCGGAAGGTCACTCATACTTCAACTACTGCAGTATGTCACCACCTTACAAATGGGAGAGAGGGGTATCAGCAAGATATTGGTGCCTTGTCATGCCCTGGCACCGGCTTTCTACTCCCAGGCGCAAGGTGTGATGTTAGGTTTAAATTCAAAGTATCTGAGTGACTAAACCTAGCTATGAACTAATGAGTAAAAGACAAACTGACAGAAGCATTGAGCCCTGGACCTTTAACAAAGAAAACACACAACTGCACCGAATTTCACAGGGTTGAGGCATTTCAGTGCTGAATAGTAGTAGCTCTGGAGCTGCTAAAACACAAATAGTGTATGACTTCAGCCATCACAAATTGATGATCACAAATTGATTTCATTAAGAAAATTATTTCATTAAATAGTGTATGACTTCAGCCATCACAAATTGATTTCATTAAGAAAAACACCTTTCAAAATTTCTGTTTTACAGAAGGTCAAAATTAATGAATCCTGTCAAGATTCTTTAAACTAAAAATCTTCACACACTTTCAAGGTATGTCATTACGTATTTCACAATTCATAAGTCAAAACTTGGAAATGAAAATAGCGCGTCTTTATTGATAGTCTGCCACAAATTATTGTATAAACGTAGAGTTAGCCAAAAACGTATCTGCTACATGGGAAGATCCTGAACATAGCAAGCATATCTGCAAAAAGTGGATGCTTTCTTATAGTAGATAACAGACGTTCTGTTACCAGCTCTCACTGTAGTGCCATATGCAATTAAAGTACTGTTTTACACGAACTGTATGAGGCTCAGTAGAGTCACTGTCTCTTCATTATTGCAAACACACAGAGATGTATTCGTTAATGTTAAGCCTTCACTGACTTCAGTGGGACTCCTTTGTCTCTTAGGTGAGTTTGTACACAATGTTTGCAGGACTGGAGAGTTTATGACCACAAAAGCTGTGACAAGGGGGACGAGAACAGACATACTGCAATAGGAATTCCAACAATTCAATGCATCCATCTTACTGAAGGAAATCAGTATCTTTACATACTATTGAATGTTAAAAACAAACAAAGATGTTTAAGCACAAAGTATATATTTATACCAAATAAAACAACTGAAAAAGTATTACATAAAGAAAAATAATGTAACAGAACGTACTTAAGTACCTAACTTAGTCATGCTCATATCTAAAAGTAACATTGGTAACTAATATATATAATTTTTGACAAGGGTGCATTTAAGAGTTCTCTAACATACAACATTCTAAATGTGGAGAGTATTTTTTCCAAGATACAGAAAACAAATTATTTTACACAGGCACGCCTGTTAATTTGTATAAAAAACATGCTTGTAAGTGAAAAGGTCACTTCAGTACTAATTTACCAGATGTGTGAAAGCTATGTAGTGTTAATCATGTTGCAATCGTCTCTTCTCCTTTTGCATTGGTGAGCGCCAACACTGAACGGTACAATATTTGATCCATATGGTTTACTGACACTGCAACCTGTTTCCAAGCAGTAGCCCTGCCCAGGTGTTGAACAGCACAGTACTGTACAGCCCCATCTGTCTGCATGTAGTGTATTTATAACTAAAAGCTATTACAATTATTACAATGATTTCTGTTTCAATATATACATCAGTATAAAATACTACCCAAAACACTTTCGCATTTCAAACAATTTTAACCACTTCATCAAACAATGCATTTGCAGAATTAAAAAAAAAAAAAATCCAAATTAATGTTGATTGCCAACAGTACAGCATCTCTGTGGTATGTCTCCTAATAAATGAGAGAACGGAAATGTATTAAAATCAACTAAAATAAGTATCACAAAACAGAATTAATGTTAGAGCAGTTCAAGGATTCCCAGTTTGTCAGTATCTACCCTAAGCAGTGCTACCCAAATACAGTATAAGCCATTTAGTGTTTCTACAATGAGAAGAAAACATTCAAATATTAAAGCTGTGACAAACACACAAAAGCAAGGAAAGAAAAATTTGTTCTGTACTCATCACTGTTGTAGCAAGGTACAGCATGTCAGGAGTTTGCACTCAGTGCATCGTATGTGCTATTATACCTGGATACAACTGTGGAAGACAACTGAAATAGAATCAACTCTGAAATTTCCTTGCTGTTGTGCTTTTATGTCAGACCATTCAAGTTACAAAAACTTAGTGTCTTTTTTTCCTGAAGGGAAGAAGAGAGAAGAATTAATAACGAAATTGTAAAAATGCTACTAAAATCCTTATCTTGGACACAATATACTGCTTTAGGAGCTATTGTGTCATTGCACAATATAAGTGGCCTATTAATTGCTGAATTATTGGTGTAACAGAATGTATTTGCCATTGTGGACGTGTTTTGAAAATTGGTATTTTAAAACCTGGCCATAACAAGCCACAAACAATTTTGTCTATTCCAAACACTAATATCCTTATGTAAAGTAGTACATGTACATTTATAGTGGCAAATTTCAAATCTCTGCCTCTGCTGCTTCAGTTTTTAAAATGAGACTCGGTTCAGAGTTTTCATTCTTTACATTATCCTAAAACATAACTATTTCTGAAGCATTAAAAAATCCAAATGATAAGAATAATATGGGGTGCTTTTTTGTTTTGTTTTGCTAATTCATTCCTAACTTGAAAAATAATCAATGTCTTTAAAAAAACACAAAACAAAAAACCCCGAAAATCTCTCCCCAGGAGAAGTCCCTGCTAGCTGAGATTTTTTTCAAAACCAAGTTTCACGCTTACAGTATCTTTATAGACATGTTATACACCCTTGAAAATAAAGGCTCATGTTGAGAATGGTGACAGGCCCTTAATTATAGAGGTGTTAACTGGTGACACTATTTTTCATCAGAAAAAAAAACAAAAGCCCCACAAAACTTCATAGCTTATACTGAAAGTTTGATTCATGCTCATTTTGTTCATTTAAAAATACTCTTTGGAAACTGTGTCAACTCCTGCAGACAACTTAGTGATACATCTTTTCCTGTTAAAATAAAGATAATTCATATTCACCTCTACCCCATGCTAAGCTCTACTACTAATATACACTTCATTACCTGCTCATGTCACCATCTAACACATATCTTTACATTCTTCTACGTATAGTGTCCAGGGCTTATTTTTCACCAAACAGAATTTGATAACTATTACACTTAGGAGTTTTTCTTGAGGAAATTTTTTTTTTTTTTGGTGTTCTAGCCTTTTCATTGCAACTTAGAGTGATATTAATAGTTCAGATTTTTTCCATGCTTACTTAAGAGAAACTTTTCATAAAGTTTTTTCCCATTAAGGATTTTAAAATCTAAACTTGCTTAGATATCAAAACTGAAAACCAGAAGAGAGATTAGGTGCATCTGTCATTTTAAAATGGTTTCTGCTACTTTAAAATGCATTTTAAAATTGTACATACAACACTTAGGATTCTAACTTTTATATTGCTGCAGTCAGATTCTAATTCAAAATCTTGCAAATAAACATGAAAAATAAGCCACTGGTCATGAATTCTAATGATTACATTCAAAGCTAGCCTTTAAAAAAAATAAAAAAGTTACAGGCAAAACATACTGGTTTATGTACTCACTAGCTTATCAGGCTACAATAGGCATGTTTTAAGTATAAAAAAGCAGACAATTCAGATTTAAATAAGACTATGTGAAATCAGAAAAAAACCCTTAGATTTCACTATTTTAAAAAAAAGAACACCTATAATTACTTCCCATCCTACAGCTACAGTTAAACCAACTAACAAAAATAATCAAACTATTTTTGACAAACGAAAGTTAGGCTAGAATATGTGGCAACAATCAAAGTTCATATATGTTTCTATGTAAAATGACTCATGATTTACTATAACAAAAAATATGAACAAGAAGAGCACTTTGTGACTAATGAAAGAGCTACTAGTAGAAACACTTAATGCCAAACAGTCTTCAGCCCTCCTTTAAGTCATATCTCCAAATCAGTATTGACTTCTTTTGACCAGATACATCATTTTTGGCTTGTCACCCCAGTATGTCATGTTTTACCACTTGCCACAGGCAGCAGGAGACAACTAGCTGAGCAAACTACAAGCAGTGACATGCAGAAATTAACTCTCAAATCTGAGTACTTGGATAAAATGATATGCAAGCGCACACTAGGACAAAAGGAATGGCAGGCATAATCCAAATAGGCTCATCATCCCTCCCTACCCCCCTTGAACAGTAGTTGCAACAGCAATAGAAAAAGATCAAGAAGATGTCTGTTCTTCAGAGTCAACTGTGGAAAAAAGTCAGCAATATATAACAGCAGCGATGGACAAGGAAGAGCAAAACGAAAGAATCTTGTTGAATATTTGTTCATTTACTTTTTCTGAACACAAGCCAAAGTGTGCCACACTGGCTTGTTCTGAACTTCGGATACAGATGTCCTATTCTCCTTAGATCCTTCACAGATTTAGAATTCAGTCTCCCTGAGGCCCCTATAACCAAGTAAGAAAACTCTCTTTATCTAGCTTGGTGGCTGCCAAGACAGATTCCATGTCATTAAGGATGTCAGAGCTCAAAGCCTCTTGCAGACTTGGCATCAGTTCTTCTCCTTCTATATTCATCCCATCTCCTTCCAGTGTCCCAAGGTCCACATTTGTCCCTGGAATGGCTTCAAGGTAGTCTGGGAAACGGTTCTGATGGGACGGTATGTTACTTTGGCTGATACTGTCACCTAGTTATAACACAAAGCAAGATGGATATTAAATATACTGGAAGTACCAAACCCACAATTTATCAGGACAACTGGTTAAAGGTTAATCCTGTATCTCTTGCATCATACAAGCAACATGATTCATAGAAATCCATCACAAAAACCAAAGATGACTTGACTGCACGCAGTTGTACAAAGAACATGCCTTTGTTTCAACCTTTTCACCTACTGACCCGAATCTCTACAGATCTTTGTCATTTAGCATACTTTAATTTTTATGCTTAAAGGAAAAAGACAATACTGAGTCAAATATTGTTTTGGAGCAGTATTAGCAACACTGGATGAGGTACTATTCTTAGCTCTGAACAAAAAATATTACTTAAAAAAGCAAATGGACACTCAAATCCCATATAACAACAGGAGTGATACTATTTATGAGCAATCCCACATCCTCCTGATAGAGCTGATTACAAGTATGTTTTTCACAAATCTAACTATAATATTTCTATTATAGAAATAGAAGAAGGTAGAACAACAATGCGAAAAGTATCACAGCTTCTCAGAATTGCTGATTTTCATTGCAAAGGGGCTGAGCATTTGATGGACACAAGTATATTTGGAAATCATGCATTAAGGATATACACAAAAACAAACCTGTATCCATCTCATCAACACTGTTCAGGAAGTCATCGGGGGTTCTGGGTACGCTATAACTGCTCATGCTAAGTCCACTATCTGTGCTTTCATCTCTGGAGTGATATGTTCCACTGTAACGGAAGAAAGGGAGCAAAAAAATGAGGGTAGAGTACTGAAGAAATTAAAATAAATGCTTGTTTTTGAACCAATTCAAGGGCTTTGAAAACATTCTGTCACAAGAAATGCTCTATTCTAATCAAAAACTGACGCCTTTGTGAGACACCTGGGTTTTATTTTATGCAGACCTTTTCGATTAAAACCATATTATTTAGATTCAGTTTAACTTGATGAGAGCATACATAAGCAGCTTTAAAAAACTGACTACCTGTGTTCTACAGAGTTTTAAACTTCTCACACCCACCCACAGCTAAAAACCATTAGAAGCATATCACAGATAGTCCCTAATGATAATAATAATAATAATAATAATGGCATACCCTTTCACACTTCTGTAAGGATAAAAAAAATATTTCTAACTACTGATGTCCCCTCGTTTAATCAACAACTGAAGTCTATTTTTAGGTCACTACTGTTATAAATAGGAGCTATAGTTGGAAATCCTTCAGCGATCCTTCAATTGCTTCCCACTGTTGCATTACTACTAGTTCAGTCATACATGTCATGGCAAGAGAGCGCCCTAATATAAATCAAATACTGGTACAGAAGCCATCCTGTAAACAAACCCTGTTCAGAACGATCTTGTTGACAGAACAGTTAACAAAAGTGATGGCACAGGGCCTTACGTGCATTTGCTTTCTTACTGCCAGCGGAGCGAGCAAGACCAAGAAAGCTTCAGTGGGAAATCTGGGATGGGATGGGACGCAAGTAGGCCAGTGTATTGAGTTTACACAGCAAGGTTTTCGTAGCAGGGGGGCTGCAGCGGTGGCCTCTATGAGAAGACAACAGGAGCTGACCCCATGTCAGAGACAGCTGGTTCCAGCTGGCTCCAAAATGGTCCTGCTGCTGCCCAAAGCTGAACCCATCAGTGACAGTGGTGGTACCTCTGTGATCATGTATTTAAGAAAGGGTAAAAAAACCCACTGTGCAGCAGCTGTGAGAGAGGAGTGAGAAAACGTGAGAGAAACAGCCTTGCAGACACCAAGGTCAGTGAGGAAGGAGGGGGAGGAGGTGCTCCAGGCACCGGAGCAGAGATTCCCCTGCAGCCCATGGAGAAAATAATGGTGACACAGCTTCTCTCCCTGCAGCCCATGGAGGACCATGGTGGAGCAGATACCCACCCTGCAGCCTGTGGAGGACCCCGCGCTGCAGCAGGTGGATGTGCCCTGCAGGAAGCTGCAGCCTGTGGACAGTCCATGCAGGAACAGGTTCCTGAGAGGAACTGTGACCCGTGGAGAAGAGCCCACGCAGCAGCAGGTTTTCTGGCAGGAACTTGCCTGCATAAGCAGCTGTAGAAATATACCATTACCTCCCTCCCCCTGCATCTCCTAATATCCAAGTTTCACAAAATATTTTCAAAATCTCTATTTCTTCAGGTTGTGGTAGCATTCACTGAGAATCCTTACTGATTTTCCAGCTTGAATACTAAATGAAGATCAACTTGACTTACTATTCAAATTAGCATTTGAAGACATACTGATCCTTCTCATAATGTGCTCATGAAATATATAGCATATGCCTTTTTGTCAACTATGAAGAATGAAAAAGATGATGGTTGAACAGATAGCTATTCGACATGGGATTCAAGTAGAATGCCATCAGCCATGAATATATACATACTAGATTTCACAAAGAGATCTTTGCCATACAAGAAAGAAACCTAACATTTCTTTACAGCTAAATCATAAATATTTTTTTTTAAGATTGATTTAAAAATAGTATCACCACACATTTGATAAATAGCTTAATTATTAGGATTGTTAAAACTTCTGTGAAAAAAAAGCTGGTTTACTTTGTGGGACAAAATACTAAAAACAGAACTGAGACTATGCTGAACTAAATCACTCTGGTTGAGAAGGCTTTTTGGCTGCCGCTCTCACACTTGGAATGTGCAGTCCTTCTCTTCAAATCACTCCTTAATACATATTTCCTCTTTCTTCAACAAGGCTTTCTTCATTTAGTAGTCACACCACCCAAAATTACTGCATGCAACTAAACTGCTTTACCCAAAATAGAGTGGATGTTTCTTCAATACTTGTTAAAATACGTGTATACAAAGAAGAAATCCCAATTTAGGAGTTAAACAGAGAATTACAGTCACTACCAATATAAATCTAATAGACAAAAATATATAAACAGAGTGGCAAACCAAAAGGTGAAATCATCTAATAAAGTCTGCATTGCTGGATGTCCCATTTAAAAAATAAAGTATACCACAATGACAGTCAGTACTGAAGACAGCAAGCAGAAGATTTGCTATGTAAATGAAAACACTACTGTACATTTTCTCAAATTGCCCCAATGTAGCAATTATTTTCTGAGATTTTTGGATGTTCTGATTATGTAGGCAGTGGAAAATATTCAACTACCTAACCTTTGGATATCCAACTTTGGTACCTAAAGTTAGGAGCTTTATATATACCCTACAAAGATAGAAAGAAGCGTTTCTGTAAGTCTGAACTTTAACATAAGGGACATCAAGGAGATCTTTAGGGCAAAACTATTGGACTCCTGTATCTAATTCAGAGACAGCAACGCATATACAAAAATGTCCTTTTTAAAAATCCCTTTCCCTTACTCATATGCCAGAATTAAGTGCGGTGATGTACATAAAATTACCTAGAAGGGGACAGTGCTCTGACCAAAATGCAAATTAACATATTCTGCACTTAAGTCAAGTACAGATTTTCAGTATTTTGCGTGGGATAAGAGCTACAAAAAAAGCCCAGTTAAACACATTTGCAACTAGGCAAGTAGTATCTTTTTGCACTTTACAGTAAATAGTCCTTTCTAATTATCAACCTGCCAAAAAATTACAAACAACATGAATTTGCCCTTTCTAGCTTTTTTCCTGTTTCTAATTAAAGATCCATCATTTTACATTGCATGTGTGTAGACACAAAATGGATAAACTGCACTAGTGCATTGCCATGGCCATTTGAAACCTAAAGATGCATTTCTTTCAGGTCAGAAAACAGGTTTTGAAGATGTGAGAATTCTACATCATTTAAGAACAAATTTAAAAATATACCTGGGCTCAATGTATGATGGCAACAGCCTTCCAGAAATTCAAGCTAGTATGTTACTATAACAGATCACGGCCATCATCTACCTACAGAGGCTTCTCATAGGAAAGCAGGTCAGTTTTAAGATTTCTTGTCCTTTTTGTGTCTTGCGACAGGGCGAGCACTGTTAAGGTTCACACCAGATTCCAGAATGAATTCCATGGAGGACAATCCCTCCCTCTAACAAAAAATGAAGTTTTCTAATCAGATTTGTCTGTGTAGGAGATAAGTCTTCCTGAAGGGCTTACCCAAAACTTGGAAATACCGCTTACTTCCTTAGGGAGTTTAACAACAAAACACCACTACTTTCGTCTCCACGTGCAAGGCCTTTTTTTTTTTTTTTTTTTTTTAAATTGCTTTTCTCCAATATATACAAAGCACTGTGTACCTTGAGACAGGAATTTTTCTCCCACTCTCACAGTAGCACACACACCACTAGCACAGACAATACTTCATGCAGTAGGAGAAAAAGCTTAAGAGCAACAGACGTTATTTACATAACCTAAACTATATGAATGACAACAGATTTCACTGGCAAGATGGAGGGTATGTTCTTGCACCATCTACACTGAACATGACTAATTTTGAGAATTAGAGTAAGGAGTATATGAAATGACAGAGAAGTCTCCTGGAAAAGGCAGAAAATTAAACAAACTTAAGCTAAACTGATAGAATATCAATAACTGGAAAAGTTACATACAATGACAGTACATCTTTAGGGATCAAGAACCTAAGTGTGAGATATCAGCAACATTAAGTTATTCAAAAGAGTACGGGAAGGGATTTATAATTGCAGCAAAGGTTTACAAAGATTTTAAGAGTTTTCAGTATCTAAAATTACAGCAGGTATTTAAGCTTGCCCTACTCCAAAATCATGCCGGTTTTAACGTGATGTGGACTTCTCACCTTACGAACAGGTTTGAAACTGTATTGGTGGCAAAAAGCACGGAAGTTAAGACTTACATTGAAAGAATCAAGATGAATTTTATGGGGTTTTCCATGAGTATAATAATAGACTATTAAAGAGAAGGATGAGCATGTTGTTATACTTCACGAGCATTTACAGTAAGCATTCTAAAGTTAGGCTAGCATTTCAAGGTAATGCAGAAAAGTAGTGATGAACTCTGACAGAACACGTAATTTTTCTTTTATGGTAGGGGATACTGAGTTGGTATCAGTTTAGAATGCTGACAAAATATAGTCCAGAAGAACTACAAAATTAACTACTCCAACTTAAGATCAACTATTTGATACTGCTGAAATGTTAATAGATTTTTACTCCATTAAAAGTTTATGTGGCTTGGAGATTTGACTGTTTTACCGTTTTCATCTTTTCTTTCCAGCATACTAAGCAAAAAATACAGACAAGACTTATCTCAAGCTGCAGCAGTTTCTCCAAAGTTGTAACAGTTAGTATGAAGCATTTGCAAGCTGTAATTAGAACAGTATTTCCAACAAAACAAGCGTTCCAAATCAGAGAGATTAAGGAAAAAGTTATATAAAAAAAATAGTCTATACTGTAAAATTCTAAATCTTGAATTAAAAGACCCACTTCAAAATGATACAGCATTTAAAATGAAACATGCCGCTATTTGCAGACCTAACATTAACAGAGTAAAAATACTGTTAAATTAAATACCTGGAGAGGAGGGGTGAATGGAGAAACCTTAAAATGAACCTCAAGGTGTAATCCTAAATGTGCCTCACAGTTCATTTGATCTCATAGCAAGCTATTCACAAATTCTTCTGAGTCAGTAATTTGAAATGACTGTTAGTCAACAGGTTATGCAGAGGCAAACATGTTATGACTTTGAATAAAAAAACCTTCCTACAAGTCTGAACAGACTACTTCCTCCCACAGGAGACAGTTTTTAATACTCAACTTTTACTAGACTTGCCACTTAAGGAAAGATTCATTTACAGCTGTGGCTTTTGGAACAGACAGATGTTCAAAATAAACTATTAAATGTACCAAACAGAATTTTAAATCATTTTTTTCCCCTCTAGTAGCTACTCCTACAAACCTGTTAAGAAAGGGATCAGAACTATTTGTAGTCATTGTTCTCAGTTCCTGAGACATTCCAGGAGATGACACGGGGTTTTGAGATCCACCGTCTTGTTCCATTGTTGGAAGCTGGCTACGGAGAGCCAATTCCTAGAACAGGTGGAGGGGAAGAAAGAAAGATCATGTTAGGCATTTGAATGCATTTTTCAGATACATAAACACATGACATTACAGGTAATTGATGCTTTTACTGTTTTCAGTTACAAGATCTAAATGAAATTACGTTTCTGAAGACAAAGCAAGAATTTTTACTGGCTTCAATGATAATTGAAGTTCCACCAGTCAAGCCCAGTATTACACAGACTTCACTGTAAATTTATTTATGGATATAAATATCTGTATGTTTACATAAATCTTTTTTAGTTCACTTCAATATCCTTTTGCTAAGTCTATTATTAAGATCAAAAAAATAATTGTTAACACCACCTGACTCCTAAGATACATCTGTCTAGCTCTGCTGACTAGCACTTCTTCCCTATTTCTTTTAAGTTCTGATTTAGTCCCTGCTTTCCTTTTTACCTTGCTTGTTTCATTCAGCAAAGTTTAAAGTCTTTCCCTGCAAGTTCCCATTCACCCCTCCCATTTGAGGCATGCATTTTGAAATTTCTGATTGACCAAATCAGTGATTCGCCCCATACATAAATCTTAAAGCTCTTCAAATCCCTAGCAATTTCTTAGTTAAAACTGCACTTCTGAAGTTATGAACCTAGATTACATATACAGTCGTACGCATCTAACTGTGCACCAACTTGAATCAATCCATCCACAAAACTTGTCATTACTATTTAATGAAAATAAGTTTTAACATAAAATACACAAAATTAAAGGTGGGTGGAGATAAGCAGCATTTTATGTAATTTCCAGTGCCTTTTTAAACAGGTAATCCATGAGATACACATGTGAAAAATACAATAATTTTCTTCAAACACCTCTCCTAAAACATCATCAATGGCTCACCAAGTCTGTGCTTTGTTAATGTAGAGACTGGTCGAGAAATCTATCGACTATCTTGTTACCATTAGTAGTACTATGTGATTTCCAGGCTGTGCCTGGGAAGCTAATCTCAGGCAAAACCAATCTTGTCAGTCCTGACAATACTCAGTATTTCTCACTTGTAAAATGAGAGGTCTTCATCCTTTCTCAATTATGAGCCTAAGGACTATTGGTTTACTATATAAAAATAATCTTTCTCCAATTCTTCTTCAAAGTGATTTCTTTTAAAAAAAAGTCTAAGGTTATTTTAATTTTGCAGCAGATTGTGCCAAATACCGAATGCTTCCCTACCACCCGGTTGTTTTCCTTTTCTAATCTGCATATGCTTCACTCCCATTCCTGTGGGTTGTTATTCTACATATTCCTTTAAAACCAAGTTTCATGTCTTGTACTAGGAAGGTCTTCTCACTCCAGTTGATTAAACCTTTGCAGAAAGCGTACAAACATAACATTGGTTTTTGTGTTCGTCACACCCAATTGCCTACTCCAAGTAAATCCAGTCCTCTGCTCACCACCACTTACTTGGCCGCTGTTCTAATAAATAGTAATAATACTCCTTCTCCTCATTTTCAGATCACAGGATGGTAGACACCTTTTAATCAATTCTATAGGCTTATCCATATGATTTTCATTTGCTTGTGTAATAAAACCAAGTGCAAAGACTATATGAGGTCTTACTTCACAGCTAAGTTTACAAACTTCTATCAGTCACATCAGCCTTGATACAAGAAGGTTGATATACAGGTTGACTCAATCCATTTAAAAAAAAAAAAAGAAAAAAGAAAAAAAGGTTTTCTTTCCTGGAATGCTTCCCAAATGGTGATCTGAAGAAGGTAGAAGGTCTTAGAGCAGCCATACCAGAGATGGCTCAAGAACTGCTTGCTCACATTACAGTCTTTATGCCCTTCCTCTGGAGACCAGAATTCTTCCAAATGTCCCCTGAGCCTTCCTTTCCCTGAGAAACTGCCTTCATGTGATGTAGCTACTTTTAACTAAGCCTATCTTGCTATTTATCCACTGAAAAAGAAGGAGGGGGGGGGGGGGGGGGAAATCACTTGATTTTGCACCACTACTTCTAGAATCTCTTCAGCCTTGGGTTCATACCTGGAATACAGCACACCTTCCTTCCCCACTCTGATAGCAGAGCTGCCAATCAATGAGTGCTCTGCTCTTATGTAGCTACAGCTTCCTGGCTGTGGCAAGAATGCTCTTTCCTTTTCCCCTTCCCTCTTGCTTTGATCTGTGTGTTGCATTTTTATTTCCTTGGGCTGCAGTCCCCAACTAGGGTGAAAAGGAGGGGCCAAAAGTGCCAGTAGCCTGCAGAAGAAGCTTAATCACACACTGGTGCCCCAAAGAGTGATGACAAAGCAAAACCAACACGGAGTCATTTCTGTATATGAAACACTAAAGTGACATTGTATCTCATTATGCGGTAGGCCTGGTCTTTCCAATCAGCACTGCCTCATGATGCAATAGTTTAAAAAAAAAAAAAAAAGGGAGACAGAGAAGAGGAATCCATATGGGTTCCCCTTTTCAAGAGCTACTGACACCAGAAATTTTCTCTTCCGTACCTTAAGAAAAAAGTCAATATAAAGAAATAAGCAATTTGGAAAAATGGGAGTTACCTTTGTATTTTCTAAATCCTTAGAGGGTAGGTGAGATTGAAGTTTCATCAATTTATGAACTTAAAAGAGTATGGTAAAAATAAATGTAGCTCAGATACTAGCCAGCTAAAAAAGAAAAATCATGTTTCACTGAAGGCCCACTAAAAAGAAATGTATTAAACCAAGAGAGAGAACTGTATTTTGCCTATTCTTTGGCACATACAACGTAGTGAAAGAATGGTCAGCAGGAGCAGGGAAGTGATCGTGCCCCTGTACTCGGCACTGGTGAGGCCGCACCTCGAATACTGTGTTCAGTTTTGGGCCCCTCACTACAAGAAGGACGTTGAGATGTTGGAACGTGTCCAGAGAAGGGCAACGAGGCTGGTGAGGGGTCTGGAGCACAAGTCTTATGAGGAGCGGCTGAGGGAACTGGGGTTGTTTAGCCTGGAGAAAAGGAGGCTGAGGGGAGACCTCATCGCTCTCTACAGCTACCTGAAAGGAGGTTGTAGCGAGGTGGGTGTCGGTCTCTTCTCCCAAGTAACAAGCGACAGGACAAGAGGAAATGGCCTCAAGTTGCGCCAGGGGAGGTTTAGATTGGATATGAGTAAAAATGTCTTTCCTGAAAGAGTGGTTAAACCTTGGACCAGGCTGCCCAGGGAAGTGGTTGAGTCACCATCCCTGGAAGTATTTAAAAGACGTGTAGATGAGGTGCTTAGGGACATGGTTTAGTGGGCATGGTGGTGTGGGGTTGACGGTTGGACTCGATGATCTTGGAGGTCTCTTCCAACCTTAATGATTCTATGATTCTGTAAGTCTTTTTAATATTAGTACTACTTTTATCCTTGTTTCAACAACAGTGCTAAAAGTGCAAAACTACAACTATTTTTAACTATTTATAAGTAGCATTTATGTTACTTATTCAGGAGGCAGAAGAACTACAGCACTTCCCCCTAGAAAGAATGCTATTCCATTACTCATTCAAGTAATAAATTTATGTCAATCTGGGAGTTTGAAAGAGAAAGGAATTACCAAAAAAGACAAGCTATTCAGAAAGAAATACAGAGCAATTTTTAATCATTTCATAAGATAAGCAAAGTTTTCTACAAGCCCTAAAGAGTGTATTAAGACTATTTTTTCCTAAAAGGTGCACGTAATGGAAGCTAAAGTTGTGTTGCTTGAAGAATGACCCTTTTATTTCTTCTTCCTTATAAAACTGATTTTCAATAAAAAAAAGTTATGTTTCCTATACTTAAAAAATTATGGGAGTGTACAAGCCTCTCCCAGCTCCAAAGAGAACAGTATGAACTCTAGGCTTTTAGTTCACGCTTTAAAATATATCCTTTATTAGAAGTATTTAAAGTCTGGAGGCAAAAATAAAACCATGACAAAATCCTGGCTTAAATTTATATAACTTGATCGCATCCTATTTTTGTATGTATGTCAAACTTTTTTTTAAGTACCTCTGGGAAAATAAAAGCTTAGCATTCCTATTGTTAACACAAAAGCTGAATTTTGGTTATTGCATAAAAGACCAAAATGATCTGTCATCTCCTTAAGCAAAGTAATTTTAAAAATAAGGTCAGCATTGTGTAATTTATCTGGCTGACCTTATCTTTTTTTTTTTTTTAATAATTGCGTACAGATTAAGTTTTACATGAAGTTCCAGGTCATTCACACCATGTCCAAATTAACTTTACAAAATTACTCTTTCCAGAGCATTTTTATTTTATCTTCGTCGTGCTTTTGAGGAAAGGTAAAAGACTCCCTTGTGCAATGCACGTATCATATTCTTACTGTATTAAACATATGATATGCTACTCAACTTGAATTGATATATCCTTATAATTGGGGAGTTTTTTTGGTAAATTTACTTTAAAAGGGCTAATTGTAACATTTCTCCCCCCCAACACTGCTCAACTATCAAATGATCCACAGGCTTCACTGGGATGGGAGAGAAGTGTTAGGGGAAAGAGAAGACCACGACACTTCTGGGCAGACTTTCAGCACCAGTTATTTCTTAGACTAAGTATTTATGTTCTTGTTTGAGGGCCACAAAGTTACAGCAAAGGTACAAAAGAAACAGGGAAAACACACGGCCAGATGAAGACAAATGAATTCAGCAATGAGGTGTTATGCAATTAGTGAAGAGTAAGGGGGAAACATAAATCATTCAGTGTTGCAATCATGAAAACCAGCAAAATTAATTTTAGAGGTTATACTGATAGAGTGATAGTTAATTGTATTGTATTCACTTGGCAAAGAACTCAATGCTACATACTGTCTTCTGCATAAACATTCTGTGAACAACAGCTTTTAAGCAACTCCTTTGCAAGCGCAGCTAGTGCAGCATAAATTGGAACAGACGTTTGTAAATAAAGTCTGGCTTCACATCTGGTTTTGCAGTCCTTCACTGTGCCACTGCTTCATACTCCTCTTGCTATCTGTCTGCGCATGGCTCCAGCACTGCACCTGCCCAGCCGGAGTGTCTCAGTG